AAAAATAAAATTATATATAAACTCTTATTTTCAAGTCAAACAATTCACATGGAACATGATCAAGTGTTCAGTTTGAAGGTTCTTCAGTTACTAAGATATGACTATCAAAATAGAGGAGTTTGACTTATGTGAGTGGAATTATTTCCCAAATGTTTACATGAAGCATGATCACGTTTCAAGGTGAAAGACTTCCAGTTACTTATTTAGAAAAATAATTCATCACAGTGAAGTCATTATTTAAAGAAGCTAAGCTTCAGTAAATTATGTTGCAGCTTAAGATGTTTGATGCGGTGCTGCAACATATTTCAGGACATGTTTATTGGGTACACATCCCGAGAGATTTTCTGAGTTTAGAAAACCTCTCATAATCTAATGCCTTTGTAAAGATGTCAGCCAGCTGATCTTCTGTAGGAATGTACTTTAAGCACACTATATTTTTCTCAACTATATCACGAATAAAATGATGTTTAATATCTATGTGTTTAGTTCGTGAGTGTTGAACAGGATTTTTTGAAATGTCAATAGCACTAGAATTATCACAATATATGGTCAGGGTATCACTGGTCAACCCATAATCTCCCAACATTTGTTTCATCCAAATTAGTTGACCACAACATCCTCCAGCAGCTACATATTCTGATTCAGCTGTTGAAAGAGATACACAATTTTGCTTTCTACTAAACCAAGAAACCAGATTATTCCCCAAAAAGAAACATGCACCTGAAGTGCTTTTTCTGTCACTAATATCCCCTGCCCAATCAGAATCACTAAAACCTATCAAGTTTGTGTTTGTGTCTTTGAAAAACTGAATCCCTAAATCTACTGTACCTGCAACATACCTAATAATCCTCTTCACAGCTTTAAGATGAGTGACTTTGGGATTAGCTTGATACCTGGCACACACACAAACACTAAACATACAGGCCTGCTTGCTGTTAGATACAGAAGGCTTCCAATCATGTTTCTGTATAGAGTGCTGTCAATATCTTCTGCAACATCATCCTTGGACAGTTTTTGGCTAGAACCCATTGGAGTTTTCATGTGCTTGGTTGACTCCAACTCAAATCTTTTGACCAGATTGAGGGCATACTTCTTTTGATTTACAAAACTTCCTTCACCTGACCGTTTGATTTGGAGTCCTAGGAAGTAATTCAACTCCCCTACCATGCTAATTTCAAAAGTGTGAGACATAGAATCTACAAAAGACTGTAAAAGGTTAGCACAAGTAGAGCCAAAAACAATATCATCAACATATATCTGAACAATAATGATATGATTATTTGTTCTTTTAATAAATAGAGTTCTGTCTGCCTCTCCTCTGTTGAACTGTATTTCAAGTAAGAAGTCAGTGAGTCTTTGATACCAAGCTCTAGGAGCTTGTTTAAGACCATACAGTGCCTTCTTAAGTTTGAAAACATGATTAGGCTTGGCAGAATCTTCAAAACCCTTGGGCTGTTCTACATATGCTTCCTCATTTAGAATCCCATTCAGAAATGCACTTTTGATATCCATCTGATACAGTTTGATTTTAAGAAAGCAGGCTATAGCAAGAAGTAATCTAATAGATTCAATTCTAGCTACTGGAGCAAAAGTCTCATCAAAGTCTATACCCTCAATTTGGGTATAACCTTGTGCTACTAACCTAGCCTTATTTCTAACCACTGTACCTTTTTCATCAGTTTTGTTTTTGAAGATCCACTTAGTTCCTATCACATTTACATGGTTTGGCCTGGGAACTAAGTACCACACATCATTTCTGATGAACTGATTCAACTCTTCATGCATTGCATTTACCCAGAATTCATCCTTCAGAGCTTCTGCAATATTCCTTGGTTCTACTGAAGACACAAAACAAGTGGTTCCAGTTAGTGCACATTCAGAAGATAAATTTGCAAACCTTACCATATCTCTGTAATTCACTCTCTCTTTTCTTCTGGTCCTCATTCCATCAAAGATATCTCCCACTACTTGAGTAGATGGGTGATTTTTCTGAATTCTACTTGAGGATTCCTTTCTACAGACATCAAAGGTTGGCTGCAATTCAGTTTCTGGAAGATGTACTGAGTCAGATGTGGTAACACTTGGCTCAGCACCTTCTTCTCTTGAAACTGGACTGTCTGTATCAGGATCATCTGTGGTAGAAGTGACTTCTTCGGTTGTTTCTCTTTCAGCAATTAAGTCATCAGCTTCATCTTCAGCTGTTTTACTGCGGAGATCAGCAAAATCATCAAATACCACATTTAAAGATTCAATAATGGTTCGAGTTCTTAGATTATATACTCTATAAGCATGACTGTTGTTAGAGTATCCCATAAACAAACTCAAATCACTTTTTGAATCAAATTTAGCTAGATGATCTCTATCATTTAGAACATAGCAGACACATCCAAACACATGCATGTATTCTAGATTAGGTTTTTTACCATAAAGAATTTCATATGAAGTCATCATGGACCCTAATCTTAGATACACACGATTTGAGATGTGACAGGCTGTGTTGATAGCCTCAGCCCAAAACCTTTTAGACAGATTTTTTGCACTCATCATCACCCTAGCCATTTCCTGGATGGTTCTGTTTTTTCTTTCAGCAATGCCATTTTGCTGAGGAGTTTTTGGAGCAGAAAATTCATGCTTTATACCCTTTTTATTACAAAAAAACAAGAAATAAAGCATTCTCAAATTCTTTTCCATGATCAGATCTGATTCTACGAACAGAAACTTGAAATTGAGTTTTAACAAACCTGTACAGATTTTTGAACACCTCAAAAGTGTCTGATTTTTCTCTTAAAAAATACACCCAAGTATATCTTGAAAAATCATCAACACATACAAAGACATATTTTTTACCACCTAGGCTTTCTACCTCTATAGGACCCATAAGATCCATATGTACAAGTTCAAAACAAATAGTGGTACCAACGTGTTGCAACACTTTGTGTGGTACTCTGGTTTGCTTTCCCTTCTGGCACATTCCACATATAGGAATATCCTTGATCTTGAGATCTGGTACTCCTCTTATGGCATTGTATTTGTTGAGCAGCTTCAGATTTTTGAAGTTTGTGTGTCCTAGTTTCTGGTGCCACAACTCTACTTCACTTACTCTTGAGCTCTTGCATGAGATGGTGTCACCTGTTTGATAGCAATTATCCATTGATCTGGAACCTGTAAGTACACAATGATTTTGATTATCAAACACAGAGCAACAGTATTTATCAAATTCTACACGCAGATCATCATCACACAATTGACTGATACTGATGAGGTTTGACCCCAATCCTTCAACATGTAGGACATTTGAAAGTTTTGGGAGTCCCTCAATACTGAGTGTTCCACGTCCAACCACTTTGCCTTTAGCTCCTCCTCCATAGGTTACACGTCCTCCATTAAGTGTGTGGTAGTTTGATAGAAATTCCTTTGTTCCAGTCATGTGCCTAGAGCATCCACTATCAAAGTACCATGAACCTGAAATGTTAGCATTTAAAGAGGTATATACTGCTTTGCACAAAAGTTTACCTTTGGGAGTCCATATTTTACACTCCTTTTTGGTAAATTCTACCTTTTTCTTTGAGGTGTTCCCTGGAGTGATGTGGCTCATTTTGTACAACATTTTGTCACTACTGAGCTTTTCACAAAATGGACGAATATGTCCTGGTGAGAAACAATAATGACAAATGTATCCCCTTATTCTGGACTGTGAAGTGGTGACTGTGCAATTCCTGGATTCCTTGCCATCTGAACCCTTCTCTTTGACAAAGACAATTTCTTTCTTCTTCACTGGCTTGTGTTGCTTCACTTGTTTCTTGAACCCTAGACATTCCTTTTTGTTTTACTTTTCCAGTGACACAATCTCTTCGAGTTTAGTTGTGCCGGTATTCATCCTCTTGATTGCTAGAGTTGCTTCATTGAGTTCATCTTTCACCTTTGCCAGTTCAAGATCCTTCTTGGTGATACCAACCTCCAAATGTGTGATTGTTTCTTTAAGAGAAGAATTTTCCTTGTTGGCTGCATCTAGAGCTTAAGTCTTCTTCTCCAAGTTGCTGAGCAGCTTCTTACACATTCTTCCTCATCACTAACTGCTTCATTTCTGGATTCTGTTGCATTCAAAGAAATAGAGTTTAAACATGTATAATGATCAGTATTAAACTCTGAAATTTCAGTTACTGAAAGTAGATAGTAGTGGCATTTTAGGACTCGCCGACCATTCTATTTCTCTTCTTGCACAATTAGGATATAGGAGGTTTGGTTATTGTATAGGCAACGTAAGTGACACATCATATTCCAATCATAAGTTGTTTCTTGGGAACTCAGTTGCCCTATTGGGTTATAAGACTTCATTGGTTGTGGACACCAAGTACTATATTAATTTGGAAAAAATCATGGTTAACGGTGATGTATTGGCTATTGATAGTAACATATTCAAAAAAAAGGGTAACATCGGCGGAATGGTGGTTGACACCGGCTCAACTTATACCTACATGCCACTCTTGGCGGTGAAATCTTTCGAGATAGCTGTGATGAATATTTTTGATGAAGATGAAGATGAAGATAAGTTTACCATAAATAACACCTTCTCACGTGGAGGATACATGAAGTTGTGCTACGATGGAGATGTAAAGCAAGATTTGGGATCTTTTCCACCTGTCGAGTTAATATTCGAGCGTGGCGCAACTATGGACCTAACCGCCGATAACATTTTTCATCAAATTTCCAAATCATCTTTTTGCTTAGGAATCCTACCCATTGAAATTGTGGATAAAGGTGCTACAATAAGCATTCTAGGGAACCTGATCCAGCAACAATTCTTCACAAGCTTTGACTTGGATAAAAAGGAATTTGCATTCGAAAGAATGGATTGCGCAACATGGGATTAATTCTTTACAGTTAAGAGAATCCAATGATTATGTAATGAAAAAGCTTTCGTATTTGAATAAATAAATTTTCTGATCATATAAAACATTTGTTTAACAATATTTCTCTATGAAATTTTGCAAATATAATATATGTTTCACTTATCTACCAAATGTCATGAACTAACGCTATTTGCCCTTTAACCAAGCTATAAACACTGCAACAGTAGTAGAGAACAAGCATAAACCAGTTTAAATGATTGATGCATCAGCATGATTAGAACTGGAGAGAACGAGATCTGGAAGAGCAACTACAACGGGAAATCCGGTTCTCCGATACCCAAAAGAATAAACCCAAAAACAAACACCTGCATCATTGAAATTAGAACCCACATTAATATATTGGTTGAGTGTAACACCCTCCATGTCTCTTGTTTAATTAAGAAATAGTTTAGTATACGATTTAGAAAAATAGACTTTATTAATACCTTCGAATTTTATTTGGTCCTTAAGAAAATAAATTTGGAAATTGCCGAAGCATTTTTCTTTCTTCAAATATAGCCCACACTTGAAAGATATGATTTTTATAAAGAGTGCTACCTAAACATAAACGGGGTTTTAAAGCAACACTCATAATACAACGAAAATAAAATTACTTTATTTTACATATACCCCGATTTAATAGACTAGATTCCTAAATGAGAGTACATTATAAATGAAATTATAAACTTCTCAAATTAAACACTTAAAAAGAAAGTGACTAATATAATCTTTGAAAATACTCGGTTAATATAAAGGCTTGTGATTCCTCGAACTCCGCTCAACCAGCCTCCATAACTGTTTCGAGAACCTGAATAGGGAAATTCGCATAAAGCGTGAGCCCAGCTACTGACTCTGTAAGAACTTTGATCTGACGCACTCACACCTCTCTCAACGTATCCCTCCAGTCATATGGGAAACCTAAAGTCCTCGTTTATATTCTCTTTGTCTAAGCCTTTCATGTCATAATCATATTTAGTTTATTCGTTATCATAAAATATGATATGCAATCGCATTTCAAAAGAGCATATATATAACACTTTCATACTTTACAGTCAGGAACGATTAATCATAATATCTTATCAGATATGATATCATAGACCAGTAATTCCATAACACGTTGAAACACGTTGTTATTTACAAAAGTGTTTTTTAACTCTCTTACTTTCAAACTAAATTTTAGTTATTACTTAGTGGGCTAAGTGTTATGACTTAGTGGGCTAAGTAGTGATTAGTGGGTCTAATTGTGGATTTTATTCTAACTTCCTAACTAACCCACTAACCCATTTTCTTGAGTGCTCTTGTGGTTGGTTTTCTTGCAGATCATGGGCTGAGGAGTGGAAGCTTGGCAAGTCTATAAATACCAAACTCAAGACTCAAGAATAACACATATTTCGAGGAAACAAAATAGAGAGCTGAAGTTTTAATCTCGAGAATTTTAGTGTGTTTCTAGGATCTGTTGTACGTACTCCTTATGAGTACATTCTTTGAAATCTAGAATTATTAATATTTTTCTTTTAGTATCTAGATTTGATTGTAAGAATGATCTTGAAAAAGATTCATTCATAAGGAAGAAGTTTTCGCACCTCTTCTGTTTGTATTCTTGTAATACTGATTTTAATATATTTTTCCGTCCTGTAAAGGGCAAGTTCACAAGTCTTTACTTGTGAACATTTTTAATTCTGAGCATTGTCTTTTAATCTTTATATTTCCGCTGCATGTTTTCTCAAGTGTCACAACACTTCAGATAACATCTCTGTATAATACGAATTCGGGACCATAAATTATTTCAATTGGTATCAGAGCCAACACTTGACGTATACTAAGTGTTTGTTCCTATTTTCTTTACAGAAACGAATTCGTGATGGATACTCAGATGACTGCTTCTATGCGACCTCCTGTACTTGATGGCACAAACTACACCTACTGGAAAGTCAAGATGAGGGCGTACATCAAAGCCATTGATGAGAGAGCCTGGAGATCTATTCTCACTGGATGGAAGCCACCAACTATCACAGACGTGGACGGGGATGTGTTTCCAACTCCAGAATTACGGTGGACACCAGATGATCTTGCAAATGCTAACCAAAATTCAAAGGCGTTAAATGCAATTTTCAATTCAGTAGATTTAACAATGTTTAAATTAATCTCTGTATGCACTTCTGCGAAGGATGCTTGGGAAGTTCTTCAGCTACATTGTGAGGGATCAGATAGTGTCAGAAGAACCAAACTCAGATTACTCTCTTCCAAATTTGAGAGACTGAGAATGGAGGAAACTGAAACAATTTCTCAGTACAATGAGAAGTTGATTGATTTGGCTAATGAATTTCAATCCTTAGGTGGTCCCTTGAGCAACGAGACACTGGTGAATAAGGTATTGAGAACTCTTCCAGAAAGGTTCAGCATGACGGTTACTGCTATTGAGGAGGCTAAAGATACATCATCTCTACGGCTGGACGAATTAATTGGTAGTCTAAAGTCTAGGGAGATGAACTTTGAAGATCAAAGAAAGGAGAAAGGAAAAGCTATCTCAAATGCACTCCAGGTAGAATTAGAGAAGGAAGATGTTGCTCCGGAATATGATGATGATGCAGAAGAATGCCTCAACAATGTGGCATTTCAGATTCAGAAATTCAATAGGGCGTACAGACGAAGTGGAATCAAGCCCAGGCAGTTATTTTCAGAAGGGTCTCCACAAAATCGACAAACTCAGCCCCGGAATAGATCTATTCCACAGAGAACATTTCCTCAAACACCTTCTCAAAACACTTTAAAAAATTCTTCATTCATTCGTTCAAATTCTGAACCACCTAACTGGATCATATAAAT